TTCGCGTCTTCGTTGCTAGCAAGGTCAGTCAATTATGCTCTCTCTCACTCTTGCTCGTTTTTTCTCGATATCGCAATGTCGGCGCAAGGGCTCCTCGTTATGCCCTTACCCTTGAAGCCCTAACATTGCCTCCTCCCGCGCCCAGTAGAATTTCTGACGCGTGAGAACGTCTTCCGGCCCGTTGCGCAATTTGAAATTAAATCCTATGTCTTCGCCGAAGACGCGGCTCTTGCAATATCCAGAAAAGGTTGCACTAAAGATCCAAAGACCCGAAGATCTTCGGCCGTAGGCGAATTCTAACTAATCCTGTCATAACTACTCAAAAGCTACTCATTCTAACTCGTACGACTACTTTTTACACATTATCTTTTAGTTCTGTTGATTTTTAAAGAAAAACAAAAAAAAAAAACAAGTCACCACACCGTCGATGAATATCAACATGGTTTTGTGAATTTTGAGCAATCAACAACTTCTTCTTTGCTTGGTGTAGTATTCTATGGATATGTTTCACAAATTCATTGGTTGCAGCTACTTTGGTTGAAAATTATTCTACGTTCATAAACTTCATCAAACTTGATGGAGTATTGAAATAAGCACCTTACATGAGATAAAATGGAAAAATCTTTGTGGATGCATTTATAGAATTGTTGTATGCAAATTTTCTTACTTTTTTAATGTGAATGTCCGTAGATTATACTCTACGGTTCTATTGGCTCGTTTTGTTTAATCATCAATTTGAGTATCATAAGATGTTTAAATTATTGATTTGGTTTTGAAAAAACTAAACAAAGTTTTTCAAAATAAATTACTGAATTGAGTACTATAAGTGATTAAGACTTTATTTAATCCATGATTCACAAAGCAACATCTAAATAAAATTGAAAAAGTTGTAAATAATAATATATAATCTTTACATAACTGTTGAACTGAACCATGACAAATGGTTTGCGATTCAAATTCATAATTATGTTCAATATATAATGTATATGATATAATTTCAAATCTTTCCATAACTAACTATTGGAAGATTGAGTGGCACTCTTAACTCTATCATTGTAGTCATAAATTCTGCATGCCAACAAATCACAAGGTACATCCAAAAATGATATTTCTCCATGCAACAAAGGTGAATATCAAGAATATTAGAAATTGATCACTGTTGTACTTGACTCATGTGAAGTACATATGTATTTGCAAAACCACAAGTTTTTTCTTTCCTTTCCTCTTCTCTGTACATGCAGATCAATGGTATCTGCCAACCTCTATTCACTCTCAAAATTTATATTCCATAATCACTCACTTGCTATTTCATGAAAGATAATTCACACTCAAGTAAAGAGCAATGTTGCTCTAATATCAAAGTAACTTCATGGGAGCGCAACGTCAGTAATCCTTGTACTTGTTAGGATTATTCGTCACGTTATTCATTCATTAGTAGTAAAATGGATGATGACGATGTGATCCTGTTTTCTTGTACTTGTCGGTAATAGCTATATAAATGAAAGAAAAACTATTGTTGGTATTTCTCATCTTCAGAGTTTATATTTTTATTAACGGGTGAGGGTATATATACCAAACAACAACTACCATAGCTATAAATAGCTAAAACATGAAATTACTTCTTAATTAGAGTTTAATTCAACAATTTCCTCCTTAACTCATGTTAAGAAAATAGTAACTTCTATAATCTTTATTATTATTCCTCAATGAATTCAAGATGGAAACCTAACACAAGGTTTCTCTTGCAATCATAACATGATAGAGTAACAATGTAAAGAGTAAGTGAAAAAATTGCTAGCATAGAGAGAACAGAAACTTTGTAACTTATAGAATTATTCCGTGAGAAGTTTTAAGAAAAAACCTGATACAAAGTTACTCTTTACACAAGAATTAATTAAAACTAAGCCGTAACATCAAATGATAAAATTAATTAATTACAAAATTAATTAAAGATACTATGCTAGCAAAATCTAATGTTTACATTTTTAGTTGGTTAAAACTGAAGGAGAGTTTATTCAAAATGTTTATGTTGTTACTTTAGCGTGCACTAGTTATAGTTGTCAAGTCAACAATCCGCGTGTTTGGTAATTAGAGAGTAAATGTGTTAGTTGACAATGCCACATCAGCAATCCATGAGCTTGTAAGGTAAAGATTGAGTGTTTAGGGGATATATATAAATTACCCGATAGAGATTATGTTTACAAAGCTAGATATCCGAACTAAAAATTCTTAGAACCGCGTTTTTTGACGTTATAATCTCTATCTATACAGAACTCAACTTTAGAGCCCAAGAGACTATCATCTTAAACCCAGATCCAAGAACAACACTTACAGATTCCGAGGTTAAAAAATATCTAAACCTGTAGAACCTAGCTGAAAAGGTCCCGGACTGATTTCAATCTGGACCTAGGATACTTCAAAACCCACTTCCAAGGTCAAAAAATCTCGTACTCACTTCAATACCCAAGAAACGTAAGACTAATACACAAGAAGCATTCCTAGTAGAACAATCTGAAGAACCATCGGATCTCTTATTGGATCTCGAGTCATTTGTAATCAAGCATACTAGTTCTGATTTTGACCCTACTACTTAAGATCAAGCTAGAACGAGACCAGATTGGCCATAGTGAGAAAAAGCATTACATGCCGAGTACCAATTTCTTAGCTATCGTTCAATATTTGGACCAATTGTAAAAGATCTTACCGTCAAACCCATAGATCACAAACTTATATTCACTAGAAACCGTGATGAACATAAAAACGTAATATGTTACAAGGTACGTTTAGTAGCACAAGGATAACTCAAAAACCAAATATTGATTTCAAATAAACATATTATCCTATCATGCATAGTACTTCATTGCGCTATCTCTCAAGCCCAGCAGTACAAATTTTGCTTGAAACATGAAACCTAGATGTTGTCACTGTCTATATCTATGGCAACTTGGACATAGATATGCATATCAAATCTCCATCAGAGTTTTCGTCGAGCCTTCCACCAATCCAACCAAAACATTTTCACAGACTACGAATCTGTAAGGCACTCTATGGCCTGAAACAATTCGAAAGAATGTGGTACCACCATTTGAAGTCCTACTTGATTTCTAATGGATCCAAAGTCCTGCTCTCCCTTGCATCTTCATTTTAAAGGAAGATTAGCAATTTGTGATTCTACTTGTTTATGTCCATGATTTGAACTCCATCGGAATACGAGCCTTGAGCAAGCGTGTTGAACTCATATTAACTAATTAGTTTGAAATGAGATTGTTAGGCAAAACATCATATTGCCTTGGACTTTAGATTGAACACCTTGCAGATATAAGTATGCTTCTTCATCAACAAACTTATGCTTGTGAGCTTCTCAAGATGTTTAACATGGAAAATGCGAATGCACTTTCAACATGAAAAACATGAATGCACTTTCAACACCTATGATGGGGAGGAGCAAAACTGACGATGATCCAAATCGTACTCCTGAGCTTGGAGAGGAGGAGTTGGACAAATCGAAGTATCTAGCAACAGTTGGCGCACTCCTCTACTCGGCGACGAATACACAATCAGACATTAGTTTTGGCATCAGCGTTCTCACTTGGCATAACGAACGTTCCACAACATGGCACTGGCAAGACGTCAAGCACCTCCTCATGTACATTTGAGGAACAGAAAATCTTGATCTTCATTTTCACCCCGGCCACAACGATATCAGAGGCTATGCCGACTCTGGCTTCAAGACAGATTCAGCGACTGGCAAGTCCCAAAGAGACTACATGTTCATAAAGAATGGAGCACCCATTTGTTGAAGATACACAAAACAAACGATCACGACAAATTCAAAGAATCATGCTGAGCTCCTTGCGTTTCACAAGGTAGTGTGGCTTCGCACCATTTAGACCGCCATATCCGAGAACACTAGATTTCCACTCTATGAATAGCTAACAACAATTTTTGAAGATAACGCAACTTGTATTGAGCAAGTATCTTCTGGTTTCATCAATGCAGTCCGTGTCAAGCATATCATCAGCCTTTACTTGTTCGGCTAAACAAAAGATCTCACAAAAGATCTCACATAGACAAACGAGATTGCAATACAAAAGATAGTTTCAGTGGAGAACATAGTAGATTACCTTACAAAGGCGTTACCAGCTCCGCAACATCAAAAACTCATAGCCACAACACGGATGCAAACTTTAACAAAATTTCGAGACAAGAGTTGAATTAGGAAGCAAACTATGATTTCACTCTTTTCTTTTCAATTTCCTTGAAGTTTTTTAACGAGGAATTTCATCATTCGCGGAAGAGTGTTGAGACAAGATGGGGAGTTTGTAGAGTTGGATGGTACTAATTCTGTTACATGAGCATTGTTGGTATTCGTTTGTGAGTGCTCCACTGCATTTCAGAGGACTGGTACATTGCACATAGTCGAGAGTAGGCCAGAGGATTGGTACATTGCCACATCAGACCGTCATAGCAGATGTTGACACTCACACTCGCTTTTTATGAGAGCGGGGTTCAATATAAGACTCTTTCGCTATTTTTGAGAGGTTCATTGTCCAGTTTAAATTTAATCAATCTACCAATCCAAGCTACTGGCAGATCGTCACAGGCAGGCGTACACCTCCTGTGATTTATGCCTCTTTTGTTCAGCGAAAGACAGGATATATATTTTTCAGCCGCACCTTGAGCCAAAATTCTGTTGATTTTCGACGTGGAGACTGACAGAGAATAAACGCACCACCTCCTGTGATTTATATCTTTCTGTTCAACAGAAGACACGATATATATTTTTCAGCCGCACCTTGCGCCAAAACTCTGTTGATATTCGACGTGGAGACTGACAGGGAATAAATGCAAATAGAGCACCACCACACACCACTTTTTAGTGGTGTGTATCTTCGTTTCTCCTGGATATTTATTCATCTCTCCAAAGGTTGGAGACTGACAGAGAATAAATGCAAATAGAGCACCACCACACACCACTTTTTAGTCGTGTGTATCTTCGTTTCTTCTGGATATTTATTCATCTCTCCAACAATTCGGGGTTGTACTCGACCTAAGTTACCCGGTCCGATCAAACTTCAATATTTTCTCTGGAGCAATTTCGATTATCCTATGATTTATCCATCGACAATTCTTGTATAACCGAACTACATTGTTTTTTACTGCATGCCAAGTAGACAATCTTTGCTTATCTGGCAATCTATACTTAAGAAAAGGTTGGATCCCTGAGCATTGGAATTATCCAAAGTAACAAACAGCGTTCAATTTACAGGGCAAGATTCCAAGGAAATTCAAAAGGAAATTCCAAGGAAATAACAATCACCGGGAGACCAAAATGCTGATGGACTGACTCGCAGCAGCGAGAGAAGGACTGGGGGCCAAACCATGACCTTTATCCCAACGTTATTCTCGATTTGGGTACTGTACAGCCAGACGATTTGTCACTTTCACTCAAAAAAAATGTTTCTGAGAGCATTGATTCTAAAAAAATGGTAGTGAAAACATCTTCTATGCTGCAAATCTCTAACTCATAGTAAGCCTCCGGATCTTCGTTGAAGCTTGCCTTCACATCTTTCGTATCTCTCCACCGAAACTTGAAATCAACCAAAAAGATGCATGAAATGTTCCCTACTCGTCTTTAGCTTCAACGGGTGTAGCCCTGTATCCAACCACTGAATTTCATTAGCACAAGTAGTGCTCGATAATTATGTATCTTGTCACTCGCGCCCTGAGCATGTCAACTGGCTACGTTGTACTAGCACATTTAGCGTCTACCTCGAGACTTGACAAGCTCACTGAAATGATATGGCATCACTCTTCTTGCGGGGAAGGAAAACATATGAACGGCCTCATTACGCATCAGGTACAGGATGAACTTATAAACATCAAACCACAGCTTTGGTCATGGATGGGACGGAGGGAAGAGAATCTTACGGGCCATTGTACCAGCGATTGAACTGATAGAGTTGCACAGACTCATTTGCAGCATGGCATGCGAGCAGCAAGTAGTTGCGAGGCTGTACCATCCACGCAAACCTCATGAACAGGGCGGAGTAGACGCACATAGCTGGGCAGACAAAACTCCGTGTCAGCATCCCTCACCGAGGCGGTGCCTATCAGATTTGTGGTCAGAAGAGGAAGCTTTTCAACTTACCGCCGGTCATGTTGCCTGAAAGAAGTTCCGGTGGCTTCTTCATATCCGCCAGACCCTGTGGCCAAAAAGCAAAGACAAATCTCAAAAGATCGACACTGGAAACTGATGATCAAACAACCAATCTGTAACCTGATTACACCGAACATTGAGCACCATTTCCATCCTTATCGATCCTCCGTTCTCAAGTAACCCAGGAATCCGACTGCTCGGAGAATCTGCTACTGCCCAGGTATTCTGTCGATGACTTCAGGCTCAGATGATCAGATGTTCAGAAGCTGGAGGTGAGGAGATAAGCCGAGGAAAGAAGTCCATCAAAGTTGAGTCAGCTGCACTCTGTCAAGAACCATTTGCGAAAATTCATCTTCCTCCGAAAAAATCCCGACTGGTCAAAGGAAAATGTCCTAACCTTAAACCCCGTCCTGACCTAGCCTTGTCACTTGTCATCTTGTGTTGATGCTTTCCATTTCCAATCAAGCTTGGATAATGAATATGGGCCCAAGCAATTGATTCTTGTGATAGCCATGTTCTCATATGCAGCTCTGCAGGGTCATCCCTACCCTAGAAGAAAACACTGATAATGTGACCTGCCCTAGAATACGAAGAATGTTCTGAATGGGAATGGATGGCAACCGGTTACCAAAGCAACATCCCAATCGACCATTTAATCTCGAAGAATTGACAAAATTGTCAGTCAATGTGTCCGCATCATTCAAGCTAGAACCTGTAATCCTCGGCTCATCAGATGGGAAGAAAAGGCATGTCTCATTGCTGATCTGCCATGGAGGCATCTTTGAATCACTCGATGCATGTCTACGAGAGATTTACCGGGTGAAGTTGAATGACCAAGCACGCATGCCAAGATCTGCCTGCGACTGACTGCACATAGTTCCTCGAATTCGTTTCTCGGTCAAGCGATTGAAACGAGAATTTGAGCAGGATGGAGGCTCACAATCTCGCGAATCGGACATGTGCGTCCAATGACATGCAGAATCACCATGCAGTCACATTACATCGATATCAAAAGAGAAAAAGGGTAGACACGTACAGCGGCGACAAATCCCCAGTTGGCGACGGGGCCCCAGAAATGCGTGGTCTTCGGTCCCACGGGACTGTTCCAGAATGCCTTCATGGCCGCCATGGCGAGACGCTCTGCTCTGCCCTCCCCTGCTCTGCACACGCACACAGCAATCCCCACAAGCAATTCAGACCGGCAGCAGCAGCACGACGCAGATCGCAGCCCCGATCTGCAAAATTCACCTGCACAACCGATCTCTCCCAGAAACTGCCCTCGCGCACTTGGATTTCAAACCGAATCTGTCAGCATCCCATTCCCCGCAAGCTCGAACTCACACGTGCTCTCCCTTCCACGACCGAATCGCAAAACAAGTCAAAGACCCTCCACGTGCTGAAGCCAGAGAACCAACCTTTGGGACGCTGGCACGGACCAGAAGAAGACGAGGCGATCGAATCGAAATGCGAGTCGGGCCCGACGACGACGAGGAGATGGTGCGAGCACGAACACCTGTTGACGATGTTTTCTACATTTCCCTTTGTAGCGTATTCATGAGTCCGTCAACTTGCTGACTTGGCAACCTGTCGGTCTCCCTGCCTGTTCCTGCTCGTCTTTTAGGCGACGACCTTTCTCCCCAACACCGAACACTCAAATTTCCTATGCTAAGAAACTCATCATGTCTCCTTGTCATCTCTTGATTATTGTGAATTCCGTTGTAAATCGATACAATGATATTGAATATCGTTGAATCTTTTCAGTTATCATACAACTAAACTTGCGAGATTTGTTTATTCTATTGATTAGAATGTTAGATTTGAATATAAATGTCTTGGTATGTTTAAAATAATCGTCAAATATAATATTTCAATTTAAACAAAATCGATATATATCTTGATATGAAAAAAATAGTTATTGATTTTTAATTGAAAAAATTTTAAAAAAAATCTTTCTTTTATATAATATGATGTATAGCGCAATAAAAATTAAATTTTATGAAAAAAAATGATAATAGATATTGATATCACTGATTTAATCTGTCACATGATCATTCGTGCGGAATTTTTTTATAAAATTTTATTACAAAATTTCATTTTATTTTCAACACCAAAAAAAATTAAAGTAGAACATCATGTGTTTTTCATCTTTTAAATAAAATAAATATCCATTTGGTGTTATAATTTATAATTATATTTTTCAAGTTTCTAATAGTGATTAAAGATTCTCATCACATCAATTGAATCACCTCAAGAGACATCGAAATATAAAAAATAACCCGAATGTATCTCTATGAGCTTGTAGAATTATTCTTCATTGTTGACTAAACTTTCCCCTTTTATTAATTGCTGTGCTAACCATTAATATGCGAAGCGCAAAAAACACTTTGTAGGCTCCAATTCTATGAGAGTTGATGTGGAGATGTGGCAACAATCTATATACGCCTTTAGCTATATACAGAGCAATGTATTGTCACGATTGATGACAAACGATATACGAGGATCATAGCATAGAGCCAAATGATCACACTGCATCTGCAACAAAAACAACTGGATCACTCGCTTATACATTGAGTGCAATGACCACACTTGAGAATAATTAGAGATTGATGCGAAATACGGAAAATGTGGAAGCAAGGACTAAAAACAAGGACGCATTGAGGATGACAGCAGGGGTTGAAAAGAAAAGCTCTATGACGGTGACGACAGGGACTAACGCTTGCAAGAGAGGAGAAGAGTGAAGTATCGAGATAGCACGATCGCAGTTAAAGAGTTTGTCTTTTAAGCTCAAACGCCACCGTTCAAGAGATGTTCATGCAAGCATGCTTGCAAACGTTATGTTTCACTTTGATAGTTCATGAAGAGTCAACACCGTGTGATAGAGGAGCAAGAGATCAAACTACAGTAGGTTGAAAGCGTGACGCTAAGTGGATTCAAGTCCTATCTGATTGCAAGTATTGGTGTGAGAACTTGGAACTGGGAAAATTGTTGAAATCGTGCACCGTGGATGACTGCAAATAAGTACTTATAACTAACACTGTGATAAACGTTGTTTCGTTTAAAGATGAGTGTGTTGATAAGTAGTGAAATATTCAAGTTTTCGATGTGTTATATTAAAAAGAGTACAATATAGAGTAGGTTTACATTTAAAATTTAGATTGAAACCAGCGAAAAATAATACAAAATAGGCACCAAAAGATTTATGAAATTTATGAGTTCTTCTTCATAAATTGTCGTATTCAGGAATTTAAAACGAGCTATGCTATAGAGAAAACGCCCCACAAAGAAATCAAATCTTTAATATTTCGCCACACGCTCCTCTTATCCACAAAGATTTATTACATTTATTGCTTTGGAGCTGTCATATAACTTTCCAGGGACTGCAGTGACCTGCTTAATCATCCACTTACCACCCATTGGGTGTTACTACTTTTAGTGTGGAGCAGAGTTTAAACTTTAGATACCTAGAATCCGGCGCCAAGAATCTGCAGCTTAAGGATGTCGTGAAAGCATATAGATTTGGATCGATCCCAGACACGCATCTGCATCTCGATAACGGTAGGAAACCCCTTGTGCTGTTGGTAACGCAAAGCATCCAATTGTGCCTTCCAATTGTTACCCTGGAAAACGATACGCGTTAGTATGGCCTGTCATAGGCTGGAGACCAATAGACAGACTTCTCTACAAACAACATAAGGGACAATTTTTTCATGTCTGTACCGAAATCCTAAGCTAGTTTTTTCCAGATTATTAGTACTTACAGGAGTTCTGTCCACCGGTGTTGAGTGACACTGACCAGTTACTTCATGTTGCAACGAGAGGCAGAATAAAAGTAACTGCAACCTCTGTCCAGAAGCATTGTGGGACCAGCTTTTCAGAAATTGCTGGAGATCCTGAACACTTTCATTTGACCTTGATTGGAGTTGTTCTTAAGATCAGTGTCAAATCTGGTAGCCATTGGAATTCCATAAATCGGTGTAGACTATTAAAAAGTTAACCACGTTTGAAAATAGACACATGTCTTCGGTGAAATGATACCATCGTCAGTGCATTCATGAAGCACCTATACAATACCAAAATACGAGTAAAAGTCAATATCGTTTTGCACTGATGTTTCGTTGAATTGCTTTTCTCTCAAACGATATATATATCATCCCAACATTATGTACAAGTGAAGTTAAAACGAAAAAAGTATTGACAGAGGTATGTAAGTGATTCACTTCGTTATGATTAAAATAACCTCTTTCAGCAAGCGTATGTAGGCAAATCTCGTCAATCTTAAATACTCGAAAGTTCACGATAAGAACGAAAAGTACCGGACAAACACCGCACGGAATGCTCGTGAAGGCGGAAGAATCTGGTATACGCGTTTTTGAGCCTCTATAGCACAAGGTATCCTGCACGAATTTAATGTTTAAAGGGATAAGCCAACGTGTAACAATTTTTTCAAACTAAAAGCAAATAACATCTAACCAGCAGAAAATCAATTCCTCGTAGTTATTTCTTTACCGGTGGTAATGCCGCATGGGTTCCTACCCCACTACTAATCTCTTCTTCGATCTCCCCATCCAGCACAAGCATGTCAAGAATCTGCAATGTATAACAAAAGCCATTAAATCAAAAGTAAAAATTCCCCCAGATAAACATGCCACTTCCCATAAGCGCATACACAGCTGCCAGCAAGAGATCATAATAACACCAAACCTGCTTGAAGTCCTGTAGCCGAAGTTCCTCTTTAGTGATTCCCGATTTTCGAACGGCATCCGCTACATTCTCTAAAGTAGCAAAACCCTGCAGTATGCACAAGGTAAACCAGTATTGTCTCTTTTCCACAAACACCCTAAAAGCATGAGGCTGTAAAACTAAAGTCTTTGAGGAAAAAAGCAACAGAAATACAATGAACCAAGTGTTTAAAAGGAGAACATTTAACTACATCAAATGTTCTATCAAACGTTCCACAAAGCTCATTTCATCTTAACTTCTGGAGTAAATGTGGCATCGCAAAAACCGCAGAAACAAGATTCTCGTAGGAGGTTACAAGCATTTAGCAGTTGTTTAAACTCAGTGCATAAAAACTGAGTCTAATCAACCAGGATAAACAGCCCCAAAACGCAGACCTCACTTGGAATATTGCTTGAGATCTCTCTAGAATTAAGAAGAAAAATTGAAAATAAGAATATTTCTTTGTCGTAAAAACCGTTAAAGTGCGAAGTTGAAGTAAAATGTATATAACTGACCTGTTTCAAAATGAAATGCAAAGATTGATGTTTCAGAACGCTTATAAACTCCACATCAAACTCTTGCTCCGTATAAAACGCACCACCGGTGACATCCCGAGAAGGTTCCAATTCGAAGAGCATATACACTTTGCGGCTCTTGTGCTGCCAGTGCACAGTTGACGCTAAGTTCGCATCGTACACTTTCTTTTACTCCAAACAAAAGATAAGAAGTTCATGAAACAGTGATAGCGCAAAGCTGAATTCTGGACCTACCTCAACTGATTTCACAGCCTTAATAAGATTGCGTGTCTCTAGATTTTTTATGGCCTTCGTGACCTGAGGCTGTTGCAAATTTGTCCTCCTTTTCAGATCCATAGTCCAGATACCTGCGGGGAATATGCAGGACAATATGTTTGATTCAATTATCCCACAGTCTACACCATATTGGAAAGCTTCTTAATTCTAGACAGGTGATTGAGAAAGCTTGTCTGATAACGAGAGACCCCTGAAAGAACTGTCCTTCGACTATTCAAGGAAAGAATGAACCAGTACGGCCTGAATCGTTGGCAATCTCATGATCGTAGAAGGTCTTGTGAGTAGTTTAACTAGCTACACTGTGCAGCTTACCTTGATTGGCAGACTGCTGAATGGCTTGATACACCAACATGTCTTCTGAGCTTAGACCTTTAAACCTTCAAGCGCAAATCCAACATTATCCTCGTAAATATAATCAATTTAATACTATGAAATCAAAAAAATAACAACAGATTGAGTGAGGAGGAAGTTGTTACAAAAAAAGTCGTATGATCACAATCCGTGACAGAACCGATAGTTCAAGATTGTAATGTGCACGTCAACACTCACTTCACAGATTCTTCTTTGTTAGCTTCTTTGTAGATTAGACTCCCTCCTTGCTGAAACAGCTGTATGTGCCCCTGCATGAACAGTTAATAAAAGATTTATGATATCCACAGATACTCCAAGACACCTCAATGATGGAACTGCTGTGAAAGACAGCTGAATGCAGCCGCCATATTTCAGAAACACAATAACAGGTCCAAGTGAGAGAACTAGAGATCGTATAATAATTCTCATGGAGAGCAGAATAAGCAGGTACCATCAGAATGTGAACTTCCCAGTAGACTGAACTCGGTCTCTTAATTTCTCAGTTCCTGGCTTGTTCATGGCTCATTCGGAAATGTTATTGATTAATAGCTGATTTCTTCAACTTCATGACGACATTACAACGATAGAACTCGTTGACTCCTTTAGCAGGCATTTTGGGCAAGAAGGCACATTCCATCCATACCTTTCCCAGCAATGCATTGATTGCCGCGGTGACAACTTCAAGACCCACGTCCTTCATTTGCTGGTCCAGAACACTCTGCTGCAATCCCTGAAATGACGATGATACGTGATAGAAGTCTTCCTTGATTAATCCACATGCAAAACTTTTTATCGGGTGGGCTCCCTCTGGCTGCCGGCATCTTCTGCCGTTACAAACGGGAGATTGTTCCAAATGTTGCTCCAGAGTTTCGCCACAAATGTGCACTCTCAAGATGAAAAACCAACGGCAAATTCATGGAAAATTCCCAAGTAAGTCTGACGAATTTACAATTTGATACTTACATTAGGATTGGCACGACACAGATCCAAGAGGCGATTGATAGCTGCGCCTACAGCTGCAGCTGAAGGTGCTGCTGCCGCCATCTCTGCTCACTAAATGCTAATAGGGGATAACGAATTGAAAAAATACGAATTCTCGATAGTGCCTAGAGCAGGGGCAGTTGTATCAGCACGCAATAAGCCGAAATTTCCACCATGAGCGATTGTCTTCTGTTGAGCAGAGATGGTCAGTCAGCAGGCAGTTCAGCTCTCAAATCCCTTCGCCGAAACACTGACTCCACCAAAAGCAACGAGCTCCTCCTCGTCTGACAATGGAGCTCCCTACAAATTCAGAAACTGGCATTGCCCCGTGACGTTCGACTTGCGGCACCGTAGACGACAACAAACCGAAGAATCGGCATCTCAAAGCCAGCAAAATTCGCGGGTTTGTAAAAGAAAAATCAAAGCCCTGCCTCGTTCCAATGGCAACGTACTTCAGAAACTGGCACCTTTGAGCAGGGGCTTAGGGTTTTACATAAACCCAAAGCAAATCCAAGCATACACGATTCAACGTAGCCATGACAACAGTTGCATAGCCTGCGAGGATTGAACGGCCTCTAAGCAGACTGCAACTGATTTGTTGTCAAACTCTAGCATGTCGAACATGTGCACGGTCCTAAACAATGTCCTATGCGAGTTTGTATTGCCCGTTTCAGACACCGAGGGCATTGTTCGTATGACTCCGCATGGAATGGAATGCGTCAGCTTGATCCAAATTTTACGGGTTTTGCTCAAACAGTCTGTTCTGTACGCATCGACAGAATTTGTGTGATCTTCTATTCGCACCGAAGACCACGTCGCAGTTCCGGTAGAGGTTACTAGAATTTACGAGAATTTACATCCAATTTGTTTCCCTTTCCCTTTTCCCTTCGAAAGCGTAATAAATATGTCGTCGAAGTTTCGTGGTTAGTTTTACTTTGCATTTATTTAATCTATTAACATCATAATGTTGTGGCAATTGTTTTTTTTTTCACACACACAAACACAATGTATACACGTCAAGTACATGAACCGTCACGATTCGCTTCTCACAATCTCTGGAACAATGACAAGCATAGTAAAGTGACCTTGGTTGAAGCAGACAACTGCCCGCTGGTTTCATACAAACCAAAGGACTAACGAAACATCTAATTCCAGTGTATCCCTGTTGTACGCACTGTCCATACAGCCGCTGAGGCAGGAACTCATGTACGTCAGATTCATATGCTAATTTCCACGTGAACTGGGGAGGTTGTCTTCGTTCCTATAGACATGAGGGAAATCAAGGATGGTTCCCAGTTCGGTCCGGATTAAGAATCCGAGGAGTTTGTTCGGACGTTAAAGATCAGATGCTCTCCAACCTTGTATTCATAGTCTCGCCTATTGCGATATCGGATTGCTTCGTACAGCGCCAAAACGTAAGGGAACGCTATGAAGGATGATAGTCGACTCTAATCCTCATCTTCTGTGTCCAAAACTTCTTGTGATCCCTTCTTTCGTGATGTTCAGTCCCATGTCTTCAGAGTGTCCAAAGTAGACTTCCAGCATCTACAAGGATTGTAATTGATGTTAAAATTTGATTAATGAGTTCAACAGCTTTGATCTACATCTTTTGAATACTAGGACCTAATATTCTACAAAGGCTTCTCGCCTACATACACCCGCCTCAGGTCAAGGTCGATTCCACTTGTAGACAGTATTCAAAACGTGCCGGAAGACAGCAAATCTGTACCAAGAGCGAGTACGGGGGCCTTCAGCTCGGTACTTTCAGACATTCCACACAGGAAACTGGCCACAAGGGGTCATGAACCTGTCTTTCAAATATGGCTGGCTCTTCACTCATACTAAGGGTGATGACGTTCACGGGCATTCCAATTCTTTCTTTGGTACACAGGCGATGTGATAGGGTGCCAATTCATAAGTTACTTTGCTGTTTTCAGATTTTCCTGTTTGAGGAAGCGAAAGGTGATGATAGAGTCGGACTAGAGGTGGAAGCAAAAGATCTGACGGAGAATCCAAGGCAGTCATCCGCTTGCACTCCCTGCGCAATCCATAAACACAATAAGCACGACGAGCACTTGATCGACACCTTCCAAGCTAGGAGCGTAAAAAGATGGCCTGATTTTATCTGATGTAAGGAGTACTGTCCTAATCAGTATTTGCCTGTCAGTCAGAAGACCATAGACACCGCATCCTGGTTGATCGGTGCGAGCAACAAAAACAGAAGAAGCAAGATGGGATGAAGAGAGAGGCGGAAGATGAGGAACGACAGTTGACAGTGAACAGGGTCTTCAATGCAAGAAGTTCTCCATACAAAATGAAGTGATGTGACCAAACACAGTCCGTAGAACCTGCAAATCCACTTGTCATGGTACGCTGACAGGAAGAGGTACACTTGAATATGAACAAAAGAGAATAATAAGCGATTGACTGACTTACTTGCAAGGCTCAAGGAACAAAGATCGGTAGGTATATAACCAATGCTGGCAAAACAATTTAGAAACAAACGCATGTCAGTGTACCTTATGAGGTGACCAAATGGGCTATGTGCCAAGCAGCAAATCAATTAGCAATCTAATTGCAATGCCTTCGTAAAACGCAAAACAACTCATATGGTAACTAAGGGCGATATGTACCAAGGAGATGATACATCGCGCCTGGGGAAGTCTATGGTCATTGCCTTCGTACAAACCAATAAAAACAAATCGACCAATGCTGGACCCCAAACAAATGTATCAGGAAACGGAAGGGGGTATCGTTATACCAAAAGATGCTGGAGGCATGTCGACTGAAAGTTTCGCCGAAAGTGATGTAATGCGTTGACGCCGTGCTCCTGTAAGAGAGTAAAAGCGTCTCAGTGATGAGAGATCAGACAAGCAATGATTTCTCAAACCTCAAGAATAAAAGCAACAAAGATTCTTCAGCGAGTGGTTGAAGATTCAGTAGCAGCTGAGCGATAACTGCAGTATTTAATCCCGGTTAAGCATTACTACTAGCTATTACAGCAGTATGTAATAAATCAATAAACAGACTTGGAGCTTATAGTAACACTCACAGAGATTCTTTGGTGAAGCTTATGTATCGACTTGCCCCAAGCGTGCACGTAGCCTCCATTCTGACAACAAAACGGAAGAACATTAATTCATACTGTCTGCTCATCGCCAACGACCAAAAGTCATACAGATAAGATGGTACATAATCATACACAAGGGCTCAGGATGTAAGAGACCGAAGCAACACAAATCTAGTCTTACGTCTGAAAGGTGCCGACGATATATTAGATAGAAAGTAACAGATAGACGATAGAAGTAAAAATGCATGAACTGAAGTTGTAAAATAATGAAAGACAAACAGATGTGTTAGTACGACAAGCCGAGGAACAGTAAAACGAACGAATACATGGAGATCGACTGTCGTCTTGACGCTGGTGGGAACTAAGTGTCCAATAGAGAGGATCAGGTCCAAAAACAAAAGGTCCTCCAGTGACCGTCAACAATATTGGAACGGGAAGCGTCGTGTCCCGTCAAGTACACTCGGCTGCTTCATCAGTCAGCGTTTGAACCTATTCTTCCTTTTTCATGGGTGGAAGTAAAGCAATGATAGAAGGAATACTCGAAAACTTTAGAACAAGTGTAGGACTTCAAAAGTCGGAAATTTAGGAATCACAGAGTTGCGTAGGATTCTGCACTGGACGGCGCGGCGGCTCAGAAAAAGTCGAAGCCCAACAAGCCAAGCCAAGGTGAAAACGACGTGTGTTGCCCAGACCTATGTCAAATCTTGCCTACCAAGAACCTGCTGTAAGGGAGAGCGGAAGAGCAAGTAGAAAAAACTGGATGCCAAATAACGAGGAGGATTGTCTTTCAAGTGGAAGCCATTCGTGAAGGAAGAAACTGAAGTAAAATGAACCATGAATGAAGACCAGTGAAAGCAGTATCATCCATGTGAACATCATTCAGACACACGAAGCATTCAGAGCACCGAAATCAAAGTATGTGAAATCTGTAGAAAGGGAGGAGTCTAAAATCAATCAAACACAGGGACCTATGAAGAAAACTCTAAATGTAAATGTCATCGTGAGCAAAAGAAAGTAAAATAAAGCAAAGTAATGCCAAACTCCTATACCATACACAATATATTCGATTTCAAAGTGCGACGTCTCTCCTTGAAGGATTGATGTGACGCAAAGCATTACCTCATCATGTGAAAATACAGCGATTGCATCTGGATAAGCTGATCCAGTTGGCTGCAAGGAGATAATGGCCCTCAGCACACCAGGTATAGAAACCTCAAGGACAGCCAGCTTTTCAACTGGCCGTGGTGGTGTATCTACAACAGGAAGCGTCGATTGTGTCCCAGGTTCAACCTTTGCATTATTGATCTGGGGAGGAAGATAGGCCAAGGCTTGTCCAGGATCGGTCGCAACCTTGGAGATATTTACACAAGACGTTCGTTTTGCCCACTCCAATCGAGCGTAAGGGGTAACAACCATTCCAGAAGCATCGGTCTGCACTTTCCTCAGGATATCAGTGAGAGACAAATCGTCAGCCGATGCACGGAATGTTCCTGTCCGAGGTTTCTTAGAGCGATGATCATCACCCACACCAAGAAACAAGTGTTTTTTCTGTTCACCAAAAGATTTCAGTGCCAACCTGCCAAAGAGATCACTCCACACGATCAGCTGCAAAACCGCAACTCAGGAGGAAGATTCTTCAAGAGGAAATGATAAAAAAATATTTCAGGAATTTGCTATCGCAGTATGCACCTTGTGCGTTCTACCGCGGAGGCTGCGGCTTGACCTGCAATCTGACGCTTCCATGCGTAGGGAGTGACATGACCATCAGGACAAACTGACGGTGGTTGTAAACCCCAGGGCTGATTTTCTTCATGGCGTTGTGAAGCACCTTTCAAGATGCCGGAACTTTCCAGATCTCTCGCTAAACACCATGAAGATAGATAGAATTAGTTAGATTCTGTTCAAGAAGACATCATGTATTTAAGATATTTCAAAATTCATTAATTGTGCAACATAAACCTTGCAAAACGAGTAATACCTGTGGCTCGGAGGGCATCCAAAGCGTTCCTCAAAGTTTCGACAGCGGAAGCGACTCCATCACTAGCTTTCTTTCCTATTTTGCAAGCGAGGAATTTGATGCACCATCAAGATGTCAGTGGTAGAGCTCATGTCACCAGCCATGGATCCGGACAGCATGGAAGCATGTGAACGCACAACAAATTGAGAAAAAACTGAACACCGAAGCGACTAACCATAAGACTGTAGCAAGAATGCGCGAGTTCGCAAATTGCTTTCTGAACACTGCTCATAGTGAATAAAAAAGATGAAGATCAAACTGACCAGGAGTCTCCTTTGTTCGCCGATTGACAGCAATTTCCAAAGCTTCCAAGAGCAGATCAGCTCCTGAGCGAATGTCGGCTATGTGGCGATGAGCCCGTTGCAAGCCTTCCATGGCCTGAGACAGTTTCTTAGGAGGAGCCTGCTTCCCTTGATCCTGAGTAGAAAGGGCGACCGCTGTGGACGGTCGAAGAACATCGGTGCTACTGACGGCAACCCCTCCATCTGATGACTGCTCTACCGTAGAGCTAAACAAAGGAGAAACCCTTGGACCAAGGAATCCAGTTGAAGGCGACGACAATGCTGGACTAGGCTGCTGCATTTTCCGAATCTGACAGGAGGCAAATATAAAATGCGCCTCGTCGTAAACGAAGCTTGAATTCGGCTGTCGTTACGAATCAAAGCATCTACAGAGTCCTCCTAGGGCGAGCACTTGAAACATTGAATATTCTCTTGAGCTTTTAGTTCACATCACCCACACGGTTTTCTCCCAATCCAGCTACCCATCAACCTGACTCGTTCCGTACGCAGAAGAGTGCACCATGAGTGACTCGTTCATGCGCACTTGAAGACAAAGTGAAGCAAAGGGAAGTTTTCTAACCACTGGCAGTCCTTGCGCGAAAACGCCTCTGGTCAGCTTCGATCCAACGCTCTCATGACTTATCAGCTTCTTACCGATGTTTGCGTTGAAATTCTCAGATGCTGAAGGTCAATGCCGCTCGCAATTGTATACTAATGGAAACAGATAGCAAGGAGGGCAGTCTTCATGCTATTATGATATCCAGGAAATGTGTCCCACGTGGTCCTCTCACATCTACAAGGCTCCTGAGCCATAATTTAACAGAACAAATTTCCAAGCATTCAGCTCGCTCTTCGAAGCCCACGCGACGTGATCATCAGCCGACTCCGTGAACACGATGCTCTCAGACCTGCAAAAATCGGTCTTTGCGCACCAAGCGTAAAGAATTTCACGTCAAGTCCTCCTGGACAGTCCACCTGCACTGCCTGCGAAATCCACCAATTGAAATCAAAATCGGCAAATCAATCAAAATCAATCTCCATCCCTCGCTCCCTCCCTCCCAAGTAAAATCGTAGAGATGCTTGATATCGGGAGCAGAACAATGAAGGAATCTAGTCTGATGGTAATGAAATCATACGTAAACTCGACCCATTTTAAAATTCGAGAGAGTCACCGCGAGGATTAGAACGCACCGGAGATCGAACTATTCAGAACTAGCCTCGGGGGTTAGAGGAGGTTTAGACGATTAGAGCGGCTCGTGGTCCGTCTCCATTCTCGTGTGACAGCATCGCTCGAGCAATGGTCGAACTCTTCAGGTTGCGACATCGAGTCCCAGAAGCAGTTGAACGAGACCGCAACTGAGTACAGGCGCTAGGCGGTAGCCGGTCTTAAATATTTAAATGGTTAAAAACCAAACCCGAATACCAAAAGGCTCAAAAACCCAATATAACCTAAAACACGCGAAAGTACCCCCAAGTTCAAGCAAGATAAATATAGATAGACACTGTAAGATTCAAACCCAATATAAATATAGATAGTGTAAGATTTGTTGTATAGTTTACATATTGCATCACAAAGAAATTAATGTCACATCAAACTTAAAACACCAACAAAGATTTTGGAATATACTATTAATTTGTTTTTCAAATTATTCACGATTACATTCAGTTCATGACATGAAAGACATATTTTACTCCAATAAGATACACTCTTTGTTTGTGATACTATAGTCTTGTTTTTTTAATGAAGACTTTCTATCTAACATGCATCTTTGATTTCAAAAACTGTATCCAATCTCTAACTTGAAAATATTAATATTATCATCTGAATATGTTGTATCAAATTGGAATTATAAAATAATAAGATATGTTATTATTAAAAAATGAATATAAAATATATAAAATATGATCATTGATATAAAAAGTGATATTTTACACAAAATTATCTTTGATTATTAAACTAATCAATACAACATTATAATTTTGAGATAAGTTGTCTTGAAGATGAGAGATAACAACAATGATTATTTTCTCACTTATATAGCTCTCGCAAACAAGTACAATGAGATAACATCTGATCCACACTATCCATCTCACTTCTAGTGGATTATTGACGTGATGCTCTCGACTAACACTCTCAGTCCTTATCTAATAAGCACACGAATCACTTATATGGCACTGTCAACTAACATATCTACTTTCTACCAACTAACCTCGCGAATCGCTCACATGGCAACTATGACTGGTGCACACTAAAATATCTATATCAACATTTAGAATAAACTCTATTTTATTTCTAACTAACTAAATATGGTTACAGTCAAGGATTATTATGCGTATACATAACTTCACAACTATTATCAAGTTCAATTATTTATGAAATGTCTTGTTATCTCTTAGTTTAGATTAATTATCTCTCATCTTACTATACTCTTCAAAAGAAAAATCTGCGATCAGTTAGAGGTCAAATGCAAAGACAAGACGAGGATATAGTTTTCGCGGAGAATTTTTTAGATCTTTCATTTATCCATTGAGAAACATCGTCGTTACAAACTTACAAGATAAAGTACATGTACACCTCAAACTCCACTGCCTTGCAACAAGTTGAGCTCTTACCTTGCCGATTCCAAAGCAATCTTGACCCGTACTTTCCATGTCAGTGTTGATCTCTTGCTCGGACCTACAACAGTTCAACATTCATGAGAATGTGTACACGATTATGATCATATATTGAGCACAAACACCTAACTAACAAGTTGTGCACTACTTCCAATTTTGCTCCTTTGTACTCTCCTTGTGAAAACTATATACTCCGCCCTGCTTCGTTACCATATGTTCCCTAGTTGTGCATTAATTCCAGTTCTACCCCTTTCCTTGCAAATACTATATCTCTCGTACGGTGTTGCTGCCATATGCTCCCATGCTGTGCACTACTTATGATTTTCACCTTTTACTTGTCCCCGCAAAAACTATATTCCCATATAGATAATTTTATTGCATCTAAACTCTAACCAATCAAAGAACTCTTTTATGTAAAGTAGAGTAGGATGAGAGATAAATAGCCTAAACTAAGTGATAACTACCCGCTCACTTCTTTTATCATATTACAATGTTTATTGTATATACATATTATTTTATTTTTTAAAATGTTTGTCATATGAATCAATACATATCCATCATTCAATCATTGCATAAGAAGAAATATCAAATTTAACTTATTTCATCTTTTGCAAAACAACAAAATTACATATATTGAATAACTATCATCAAAATCACTTGATATCATCTTCAAACCTGCATCCATCATTTTTGTTGATGAAGCCATGTAAAATTTAAATTTTAGAATTTAAAATGATGGAAAATGATTCATGTGATACTTCAAAATATCACAATCAGAATGTCATGTAGTAAAAGTATTTAAAATTAAACTTTGTCATTCATATAATCTTGCAAAATCCAAATAGAAAAATTTATGGAATCTAAAATGTTAATGACTTGTATCTTAAAAAAAATCTTATCACAAGATTAATATAAACAAAGGGAAGATGATTATCTAGCTAATTGGATCATGACACAATGTACAACTTTTGTATGTTGATTGGAAGTCAACATTTTCAATATCAAAATCATTTTTATACTTATTTGTATCTATAAAAATGTAAATGCATCATGTTATTCAATTTCAAGAGTGCTACATTATTTGAAGTCATTTTTTGCTACTTTTGATTCATCACATTGTAATGACATGTTATTTTCATATTTTATAATCAAAATAAATATAATGAAGATGTTAAACTTTGGCATTTTGATGTGAAAATGCAAATGATGTCAAAATTTTCTTCAAATCTTTCATTCGTACTATTCATTTCAATTTTTTCAATGATAGCATTCATATTTAATGGCATGAAATATTTGTATTAGGAAAAAAACTTGTTACAAAAAATAATCTATATTGTATGTGCATGTAAATATGATTTATGCCAATAGAAAAAAACAAAAAGCAAATGATGGATGATGATTTTGTGATAAAATTTGCATCTTTCTATCTATTTTTTGATTTCACACATTATGATAATTTTATTTGTCATTATAAACTCATATGTAACCGATTATTATATTTTACACTTGGAATTTCTTTATGTACATTTTTCTTGCGGCAATAGATTAAAGAAAGGGATTAAGAAAGCTTTTTATCAAAGCTACAAACTCAAGTTCTCAACTTCAAACACTACACCAAATGGAGTACTAATTTGAATCCTACATATACGAAAGTCGATGTTTAAAAAAGTGTGATCAAACTTCATATCAAACCATTGAACTTGTACATATTTTAAGAGATGTACGGAATTTCCTCGAGGAAAGCGATGATCGAACACGCGACGGAGACGCAGTGAAGACGGGATTCCGGGAAGATGGCCGGGGAATGTCGTCCTCGTCTCGAGCAGGCCCCGGCAGTCGAGCCCTCGGCTGTCGGGCTCAGGCGATTCGTCTCTGCCTGGAATCGGGAGGGAACCGGGTGACCGGGTGCTCCGTCAGGTCATTGTGTTTCAAAGCGTTTAGGGTCTGAGGTTCTGAGCCAAAGCCCTCCGTTCCCTTAGGGTCAGAAGTGCACGAGAGATCAGAGCAGAGCTCCATCGCTTTCTGTGCATCAGCGTCTGAAGGAAGGCTGGCAGTGGATTGGGAGAGAGCAGCGGCCCAGCATTGTAGCGATGGCGACCCTCGGGGTTGCACGAGAGGAGGTGGCCGAAATTGCCGCCGCCGCGGCTGCTGTTCCTGCCGAAGGTGGAGACGGAGAAACCAAGAGCAAGAGGTGAATTTTAATTCCACTTCTTTAAACCTCGGCGCTTTTTCTCGTTGAATCCCGGCTTCTCGATGATTGCGGCGAGGGATTGCATCTTTACCCCGGTTATGCAGCTTGGAATTTGGAATTAATTGTCAGTCGATTGACGTCTGTATGACTATTTGCGCGTGGAAACTATGTTTGCAGTCAGGCTAAGAGGGAAGCCAAGGCTCTGGAGAAGGCACGCAAGGATGAGTTGAAGAAGAAGCAGCAGGTGCTCACTGTGCATTTGTTGGGTGCTCACACTTCAGCTGTGATGGCTTCGACTTTGTTTCCTTTGCTAGTTGTACTTACACGGTCAGTGTTGTGAATTCCAGGCCGAAGCTGCTGCTGCTGCGGGAGACAAACCGAAGAAGGCGAAAGCCGTGAACGAGGAGGAAGAGTTGGACCCAACGGTTAGTGAGACCTACTTACGGATCCTTAATTTTGCCACAATCTGCAGTAATTGAAAGTAATGAACTTGCAAAGGAGAGAGAACGGCGGCACAATGAATCGCGAAATTTTGTTTGCTGAGAATTTCGTCTCACGTAACTCAGTAATTTATCCTATGATCTTGGTCTCTAACCTCCAAGATGAGAAACGTGTCCGGAGATCATCGACGAATTGGACATTGTGTGTAACGCCCTGTCTACTGGAAAACTCTTTTCTCAAGTTCTCTGAACGCTGACGTGAAAAAGACCGAAGAAGCATCTGAAATGACGAAGATACAATTATTTTACAATGTGATTCCTGTGATGGATTTAACTTCTCTCATCAGAGAATGGAGTTCCCCAGCTCGTCCTTGTGTCCTAATGCAACACAGGGTGTTGCTTTCGGCTTGTAGACACTGATGAATAATCTCATGGGCTTCGAGACGAATAGTATATTACTTCAATTTCGTCCCTTTAGGTGTAGTCATTTCAATTCTCCCAGGTGCACTACCCGATTTTGTTTCTTTCACGATTTTCTGAACTTTACTCGTGGAGAAGTCTCTAAGCTTTTGTCGGTAAACACGTGAATTGTAATGCAGCAATATCTAAGCAATAGACTGAAGGCGTTGGAGACAGCCAAGAGCGCTGGATTGCCAACTTATCCGCACAAGTTTGTGGTGTCTCTGTCCATCCCAGATTACGTGAAGCAGTTTTCTCATCTCAAAAAGGACGAGAGATTGGAGACCGAGACAGTTACTCTGGCAGGTGTGCGCAATTTCATAAGATGCTACGCTGTGCTCTTTTAACGAAGCTCATTACGTGCTCATTTTTGGATCATCTCAGCCCTCCCTGGCGTGGAAATTTTACGGCGATTGACATTATTGGGTGATCTTTCGCATATCAGGACGCGTAATGACTGTTCGGGCGTCATCTGCTCAACTCATGTTTTTCGATCTCCACGGCGAAGGGGCGAAAGTTCAACTCATTGCGAGAATTAAGTACGTCATTCCTCCTGGAATCTCCCAAGCAGCAAGCGGAATTCTATGTCGACAAAATATTTTTTCCACTGTTTTGTAGAAACTCCTCTGTGGAACGCCATTAACGTGTTATTATTTAATCCTATCAGTTTTGCGAGCGGGGTTGAGCCAGATGATTTCGTGAAGCATTACTCTTCTGTCAAGAGAGGTGATATTGTTGGCGTGCGAGGATTTCCAGGTGAAGTCATTTTCATCTTATCTAAACATGTATACTTCGCTTGTCCATGTCGGTTGTCAATTTTTTGTGTACGATGCAGCTACAAGACATACCAGCTGGGTTGGTTCTAACTGGTCGCCGTGATTCTAAATACATTAGGTCGAAGTCAAACCGGAGAACTGAGTATATTTGCAAACGCGCTCGTCGAAGTGCTCTCTCCATGCTTGCACATGTTGCCAAAACAGAGGGCGTTTGTTGGGAAAGACAAGCGAGGGCAAGATGCGGAGAATGTTCCTGAGGCTTGGGTGCCGGGACACCCTCGTCATCCAGACCTTTACGTTCTCAAAGATGTCGAGACCAGGTTTCGTCAGAGGTATCTGGACCTGATGGTTAACTCAGAAGTTCGCCAAATTTTCAAGACAAGGGCGTTCATCATCAGCTATGTTCGCCAGTTTTTGGACAAGTTGAACTTCATCGAGGTTGGTACCTGTGCTTGAAAACAGTACCTGAGAATCGTCAAAATTGGCTTACTTTGTGGAACTTTCTATGCTGTTCATTTTACGTAAGAAGCTAACCGTGCTGATGGTTGGTGTTGTCGCGTTCTCGTACGACAGGTGGAGACACCTATGATGAACATGATTGCAGGTGGAGCAGCAGCGAAGCCATTTGTCACACACCACAATGACCTGAACCTGCAGCTCTTCATGCGAATTGCACCAGAACTGTTTTTGAAGGAGCTCGTTGTAGGAGGTCTTGACCGCGTGTATGAGATAGGCAAGCAATTTCGAAATGAGGGAATTGACCTTACTCACAATCCCGAATTCACCACATGTGAATTTTACATGGCCTACGCGGATTACAACGACTTAATGTCGCTCACCGAAGAGTTGCTTTCGGGTAAGACATGCCGCGGCTCACACTCTCACAGCAGTAGTGAATAAAGCTTATTTGGTGTGGAATTCGTTCTCGATACAATCGGTTAACCTTTCATTGTACGGGAACCAGGTCTTGTGAAACAGTTAACAGGTGGTTACAAAATAAAGTATCATGCAAATGGATCAGACCAGGAGCCCGTAGAGTTGGACTTCACCCCTCCTTTCAGGTAATAATTCGTGGATTGGTTTACTGCTTCGATCTTGGATTGAATGCTGTCACGTCATCTTCCTGTTGCCTGAAATCCTGCGACTTGCAGCCGATCTCGTGTATTGTAGTGTTTACTGCCAAATAATGCAGTTATGAAGTAGGTGATCTTGCCACATTTTATCTTCAGAACGTGCATCTTTGTCTGTTGCAAGAGAGACTACTAGGTCTGTGGTTTTGTCTCCTTGCTTGTTCGGCCCCTGCGTTTATTTCAATTGTTACAAGAGAACTAAGATGATGAGTATGTTCTTCATTGTTGTGTGCTGCAGGCGAATAGACATGTTAGAGGGCCTGGAACAAATTGGCGGAATCAAAATACCTGCTGCGCTTGATTCTGACGAGACCAACCAATATTTGCGAGAACAAGTGGCCAAACACGACATCAAATGCCCTCCACCACTTACCACCACTCGTCTTCTTGACAAGGTCTAAAGTTCGCTCGAAATTAATGAGTTATTAAGCTTGAACCTGGTCGACAAAAACTAGTGTTTACTTTACAGAATTAACGACTTTAACAGCATCCAGGCCTACAACTTCTGTGTTAACCCTTATGAATTACTATCATTCAGACTTGTCAATAACTCCCTCTCTTCTTTTCATAACAGTTAGTAGGACATTTCCTGGAGGAGACATGCTTGAGTCCAACATTCATCATGAATCATCCAGAGTTGATGAGTCCTCTAGCGAAGTGGCACCGAAGTAAACCCGGCCTCACCGAAAGATTCGAGCTGTTCATTAGCAAGCACGAGGTAAGGGCTAGGAATGGAATTTAAAGTGCAATCCTGAGTCGCTGAAATTATTCACCTGAAATTCTATCTGGTCTCACATCTCCGCGTCCATCTAATGTAATTTACCATTTCTCTGTCTCCAGGTTTGCAACGCCTACACTGAGCTCAACGATCCGGTCGTTCAAAGGGAACGTTTTACTAGTCAATTAAAGGTACACAAATCGAACATTTTGAGTTCGAGTTTGGCGGCATTATGATTCAGATTTTCCTTACTGTAAACATGGAACTAGGTCATTGATGTTAGTACGGTTGCTGTCTGTGTCGTGAACTTTTCAGGATAGGGCACTGGGCGATGATGAAGCTATGCCTATCGATGAGACATTCTGTACTGCTCTAGAGTATGGATTACCTCCAACAGGGGGATGGGGAATGGGTATCGATAGACTGACCATGTACCTGACGGATTCCCTAAATATAAAGGTTCGTTCTTGTTTCTCTCTGAAGCAGCTCTTCCGTTCTTTGTTTGATTTTACGTTCCTTAAGGTTGACATGTACTAGTTGTTCAAGTCTACCTGTATTTCTCGTCTGGTTATCTGTCATGTGAGTGACGTTTTATACTAATGATGACACATTGTTTGAGCAGGAAGTTTTGCTCTTCCCCGCTATGAAGCCCCAAGAAGATATTGTACCAAAGGCACCTGAGAAGAGTACCTAATTCTTTATTAGACATACATTAGTGAGAGGTACGTGCCAGTATAGTCAGCCTATTTTTCTGATTTGTCTTCCATCCTCCATTGGCGAGGCGTGGGTAGTCGTGAGTTGATCGTGAGACAATAGAGGAGAGGAAGAAGGGGTTTCTTATCAAAAAACCATAGAACCCTATGAGTAATGAGGCTGGAATGTGTTCCAGCCGTTCAATTTTGAATCATTCTGTTTCATGTATCGCGGTCTTTTAACTCTCTTCTGCATCTTTTGAACATCTGTCTGCCGTATCACATGGAAGGATTGGACAATAAGGTAGTTTCGGAAGTGTGCAGTACTATTGTATTACCTCTTGACAGAATAGATTGTTGTATCTGACGTCAATCGTTATAAACTCTATCTAGAACACAAATCAATCTAACATGATTTTATTATCTTAACAAAGCAATTATATAATGAAAAACAGTGGAACCATTTGGATGATTTTATTCCTGAAGAGGTATATGTGTTTAATTTTGTAATGCCCTGAAGAATATAGAATCACTAAAATGCTGTACTTTTTTTCACCATTCTATTTCAAACCGGAAAAAAGTATTTCATAATTGGTTGCAAGTATTTTGTTGGTATGAAATACTTTGATCCCAATATGAGATCCTATCAGCACATGAGTGTAAACAAAACTTTTGGGAAATAATACCGCTGTCAACCATGTAGTCTGCATATCCCCAGACAAACTGTAATACGTAGATGTCACGACCAAGTGGCCGATTAAGTCACACTCAGGTTTCGATTCAAACCAAGAGACTAGAGCTGTGTGCATATGCACAAGCTTCTTACAAAACACCCAGACGTGGATTCATTGAGGGAGGTGCCAAACCGACACTTCAAACGCAATAAATCAAAAGCGACCTAAGTCCATGACCTGCCTCGGTGAAACACATTTACTGAACTTTGTATCTAAGGGACAATTCCAACTCAAAACAAATATCCTCTGAAGTAGTAGAGCAGATAAACTAGATCTGTTTAAACTAATGTTCTGCCTATGTGACATAACAGGAATGTAGATGCATTCATTATCAACAAAAAATAATCACACATTTTTTTTAGGCAATAATAAATCAGTCGCACGCATCACTCGTCAAATTTTACTCATCGTATTGTGGGTGCCTTGATACAAATAAAATGTTTTTTTACAATTTTTCTTCCCACTTCTTTTCACTGCTTAGTGTATGCAAAATTTATTTATCTTTGATTATTTTCTTCAGAATTACTCAATTACACCATAGAAGAAGGTTGTTTGCTTCTTGGTGTAGTGTTTAGAGAGTGAAGGTTTTAGTTTCGGCCAATAAGATTTTTAATAATTGGAAGATTTGTGGACTCAAGAGGAATAGATTAGTCATGGTGATTTAATATCAAGAATACTGAAGACGTTTTCTAAATATAATTTAAATTCTAAAAAATGCATGGATTTAAAACCAACACTCTTCAATTTTATTTAACTTGTTTATGTTTTTATCAACATATTACATAAAAAAACTACCTTTTGTACAGAGACTTCACGAAAAAATTTAAGAGTCTGTAGAGGTTTTACAAAAAATTCTATTTGAAAATTCTAAATTGTGCTAATGATGATTTTTTTAGCTCTTAAAACACGTTAGTATGAAACATCTCATCATATCTTACTTGAATTAGCTTTGTAATGCCAAACTTCAAGTATCCTTGTAAATTCTTGTTCTTTAAAGCTGATTCGAACATCTCAAAGTCTATCAATTAGATTAGATTGCATAAGAGATTATCAGTGATTGTTACAAAGTATCATTTTTTTCATTATAAAGTAAAAAAATTTCTAAAAAATTGTTCTCTTCTGTTTGAAGATCTGTTTGCATATAAAATGTTCTTTTTACTTTATACACAAGATTTATTGATGTTCATAAAAATGAAAATGTTTGGGCATTATCTCCTATATATTAACGCATCAGTTTGAATTTTATATATCCATAGTTTTTATTCATGATACATGTTGATTACTTAATTGTTGATCTCCATGTTTATATCATCAAATCATTTTTTATTTCATGGGTTTTTTGACTTTACTTTTAACCTTAAAGTAATAAACTTCACCTGTTTTTGTACAATATTTCTAATTTTAACTTTCATAACAGCTCTCGGAGATCCAGATTTCATTCTTACATATTAAAATAGAAAAGGTGCAATATTGCACATGTGATTTCAATATTTCAATTACATTTTTTCAATTTCAAAAGAATTGCTTTACAATGAATAAATTTTTATGAAAATAAAAATCACTAATTGAATTTTTTGAGATTCTAAATACTCCTCTGATTCACTCTAGATTATTCATCTATCTCAAATCATATCAATGATATACTACTATAAATCAGGGATAGTGAATCTTCTATAATATGTAACAATGATATAAAACTGTAGGGTTATTTTTATTAATTAAATTAAAAGTAATTTCATGAATTTTGAAGTTCATAAATCAAAGATTGATTCATTCTTGTTTATATGCTGTCGTTTGTATTTTATAAATTAGTAATATAATTATTAGGATTTTTCCCATATTGATATTTTTTTAATTCGGTTAATTTTTCATGATTTGATAAAATAATAATAATAATATATTTATTTATTAAAATTTCAAAAATCCTTATATTATAAAAAAATCATAATATGTGTCATTGATTTATTTTTGATGATAAGAGACATTAAAATTATATTTTTTGATCTATTTGATCAAATCTTGATAGCCTTAAATGTTTTTCATTATTTTCACATTTTTATGCAATAAATAGAAACACTGCACATATGGAAAAGAGCAAAATCTAATTTCAAAAATGATTGAGCTTTAGATTTGATACTTTTTAGATAATTTATATTCTTTCTTTGAATTGAATGATACAAAGGTTGTGAAATCAAATTAAGTTCAAAGCTTTGAGTGAATATCATGTATCACATGAAGAACATAATATAATGTAAATAATAATAATGATATAATTTAATAATGGAAATAATATGATGTAATAATGAAAAGAATATTATCTAATTAATTACATTCCATACATTTTGTTTTTTATTTCAGTTTTAATTGTTCCGATACAAATTTTTATTATTGATCGTATATGTTTATTCCACCAATTGTATGTTTTGTTAAGATGGCTCATTTGTTTTGCCCATTTGTAAGTATTAGATTTGTAGAGAGATTTTTCTTTAACATAAATCAACGTCAATGTAATGAAATTTTATCATTAAAAAATAAATTTAGTCAAGAAGAACATAACTTTATTTGCTATTTTTTGATATTTAAAATACAAGATGATATCTCTAATGAATAAGAAAATTACCAACTCTATCTAATATATCTTATAATGTAAATTCAATCTGCAGTTTATTTTTTATTAATAATTTGACCAGTGTATGCCCATTAGCAGATATAATGTAATTAAAATATATATTTTAATAACATTTAAATCTTTATAACATTGATCTACATGGAAATATCAAGGGACTTGTTACTGTATATAAGATAATATTCTTAGTTCATACAAAAACTATATGACTCATTTTTTTTTTCCTCTACGTCGCGCTTACGAAAATCGCGAGTGAATTGATCAATCGTTCTTCAGTTCTGTACCTGCCAAAATAGATGTCATCAATCTGCTGAGGTACTATAAAATCAGCTTCTGCATTCAGTCCGAAACTGCTCATTTGTGTCCTTCGTATTTCCCGCCGTGATCAAGCAAGAGATGATTTCTTCTTTCCCGAGAGTAATCAGAGAGGGCACTGCACAACCTTTAGCACAAGTCTAATGCATGTGTCTGCTGAAATTCTCAGCACAACTGTCAGTTGAAATGATCTGAAATTCGCTGCGTCGTTCCACAAACCATGAACGGCGATCCACTGTAAAATGAACTGGGAGTTCTGTTTTATCACTCTTATGTTTTTTTTTCTCAAAGGGATTTGATTTTGTGTTTCATCACTTGATCACTAACAGAGCGTTTGTCCTGGTGAATAGATAAATTTTGCTTTCCATTTTTGATATCGTGGATTATGCTGACATGTTACATCGATACGGACTCATTGAAGTGGACGGCGACTAGACGATTGAACCACGACAGGTGTAGAGCTGGCTCGAACCATTTCAGATCCGCCACATTCATACTACTCATAAATGAATGAGCCAGTTGAGCATGTTCTAGTCAGCTCTTAGTCGGTAAATCTCGCACCAATCGCGTTGTCTGTAGATTACTGTACTGTGTTGTAGCTCTTGTGCGTGAAAGGCGTAGCATGTCTGCACATGTTTACAACATATTTCCAGGGATCCAATTTTGTATTGATCGACCACGATGGAAGCGTTGAATGTATGAAAGGTTGGAGTGTCACACGAGCATCAGCAACAGGCTGTGTGAAACTAATTCCGACGCGACACGTACGCCATCCATCGTAGTAGCCTTCTGGACAGGCCGAGGTCTTTTGTCCAAAGACTTCAGTATTTTGTCGAGGTTTCTATAGGATGTATATAAACAAGTAGCAAGGTACATGTGACAGATTTTGTTGTTCTAGTGCAATGCAGACTAGAGTCTGTTGAATCTCGAATCTACTGCTTTCGACATTATGAAAATGCTTCAGTTTCTGTTTATGAACCTCCTCGAGAACTTCAGACAAGGCTTGTTGACGTTTGCTCCATTTTATGAGTAATACAGCTGACTTTTCCCCCAAAGCTTTCCGAGATTCAAGAAGCCTGTGAAAATTTCTTGTAAGAACATGGGGTTCCACAAGCATGTGAAATCCCATGTTTTTCTTACTCGGTTGCACATGCCACCTTATAGTTTGATCCAGATTTTGCTACGTTGTGAAGATCAGACGTGTAGCTAAACTTTTTTTTCAATTGTACGTATTTTTTGACTATTTGTAATAAGAACTGATACAAATGAATATTTCGTTTAATATACATTTGAGCATATGTTATTAAACGATGTATATATATATATATATATATATATATATAAAATTGTACCCAAGAAAATCATTGTTATGTAGTGTTCATATATTTCTTTTATAATACGACTATATTACATATTTCATGTTTTTTTCTACTTTAAATTTGTTTGATTTCACCTTTTTCATGAAATTTTATAAAAAGTTTTCACAAAAGTGAAAACTTTTTATGGAAAGCTTTCACGCTTGTGAACAAATTTTCTTTCTTGCCTTCATGTTAAGCAAAGTGGTCTAGACTCAGAAAGGTATTTATTTAGACTAACTCAAATCCGTCTTAGCTGTTTAATAAAGTACACACCTTGCTTTCACACTACAAATTTTAGCAAAATAACTAATAAGTCGAGTCGAATCATCTACAATCTGACAGCTAGCAAGATTTTTCATATGGCATAAATACCTTCAAGGTCAAAATGTTTTTCTATCTTCATTCATATTGCGTATATGAGTGAGAAGAGAATCAACGTAGAAATTGTTTACTGCTCACTATTTTACATTTTACAACACATATTTCAATTTTAACAATATCAAATATTCTACATGTGTAATAACTAAAAGATCCACTTTCAAATCTCACTCATCGAATATTTTTGCCACTGTACACGCCATATCTGTTCTTAATCGATTCCAATATTATTTGCAAATATGTCTATTTGCAAATAATATAAGAGCAATAATCCATCGCTACATTTGATTTCATCATATATACTTCATCAAACTTCGTAAGACAGACAGTTTGGATAATTCCGTCTATTTGTGCATGTTCAATTTTCCCTGCGAAATAGTTACACCAATTCCTCCACTCTCAACAAGTCAATTTTGAACTTTCTACCTTCAGCTTTAATTAGAAGTGATAAGTATATATTGCCTATGCATAACGAAAAGACTTGCTTACTCAAATCTTCTGTAAGTAAAGAAAGATAAAACTCTTCAACCAAACATAATATATGTCATTTTTCTTCCTACCCTCTGTCCACAATCTAGAATTGTGAGACATCATTTCAAGCAGCGACTGTACTCAGAGAATGGGAAAACAGTCCTATCGGTGCAAGGTACTCCAGACATAGCAACCATTCAATTCCAAAACACCAGTTCCTTTCTACCAATACTCTTCAATTTTCGACATGTCCGCCGGAGAGGCAACGATGCAAACTTAAACTGCTAAAGTCGAAACAGAGACAAAACAAGTGCACAGGGAGCTAATAAACAGATCGAAGAAAAGATACAAGAGAGGAGAAAAGTCGGAGATTTGATATTCCAGAAACACAGTCTCGAAAGCTCTTTACTAAAATTATCGTTGTACAAAATGTGGTATCTGGCACTTCAGAAGCGGGTCAGAGAATCTGCTCCCATTTACACCTCGGCATGCTGAAGCGGACCACTACTAACCATACACGGCGACCGACCTACGACGCGACGGCGTGACGACGCTCAGTACTGCGACCCCTCGAAGGTCTGGCCGTACTTCCAATGAGATCCCGCCACGTAGTTGCTCACGCAGGTCTTGCCGTTGCTGGTGGTCACCTGAAAGGACAGGGCTTGCCCGTCCAGCACCTTGCCCGTCTGCCACAGCTGACCCCAGCTCCTGGTCATAGCAATCCACTCCCCGTTGCCGCCCCTGACCTTAACCGCGGTCACGTCGCCGCTTCCCCCGACGTTGAAGATGAGAACCTGGAGGAAGTACGTGTGCCCCATCACAGTGAACTGCATGCCTCCCTTTCTTGGGCAAGGGACCTTCGTGTACTCCACCTCCACCACGCCCGCGACCGGCTTGGCGATCTGCGAGAACGCGGGCTGCGACATGTCGAAGTGGGGCTTGCCGTCGCACCACCCGCCCTCGCTGCCGTGCGGGCAGAGGTTCGTCGCGGTCACCATGATCTCGTTGTCGATGCACCCGCCGGTCGAGGACCCGGAGCAGCGGACCTTGTAGCACGACCCGCAGGACAGGCCCTCGTTGAAGAGCGGGGAGCTGAGGGCCGCGGTCATCGTACCGAAGGGCGTGGACAGCACGTTCGAGTAGCCGCAGGCTCCATTGTTGGTGCCCGAGGCGTCGCTCCCGCCGTAGAACGTAGCGTGAGCCGGCAGCGCCGCGACGCCCATTGGCGACCACAGGGCCTGCAGCATCATCAAGAGTCCGACGATCCACAGCTGCGCCATTCTCCCTCCCGCTGCCAACCCCGCTGCCATTATCGCGCCGTCTGGAGCAGAGCGCCTGGGGCGCGAGGGAAACTGCGTGCCTGACCCGAGGCTCGCAGATCGACACTTTGCTGCAGGAGTTTAGTTGTGAGTGGCGGTTGAGTAACTCTCCCCCGCGGGCCGGCCCCCTTTTATACGAAATCCCCTCCCTCCGCTCGGTCCAGTCCCGCTTCTCCCGCCGCGATCCTCGCTACCGTTAGGCATCTCGACCGGACAGGAGGAGCGTATCCCTATCGCACGCGCCCTCAACGGCCCTCCCGCGCGAGTCGGCGATCGGCGAGAGGTCTGTCGCTGACGAGTGTCTCCGCGCGCGGGGACGCGGCGACTCGGCGCCTCGCTCGCCGCGGCGATGCCGTCGATCGAAATTACGATTCCGAGTTGTTGAGGGCTTGCCATTTGCGCGAGGAAATTCGCTGAAAAAAGCGCTCAGTGTTGAGTTTCCGGGTAAGTGGGTACCCCCACCACAATGGCCTTGCGTTGCCCTCTGCCACCTGGGTCCGCCCACGCCGTCGCCGTGGTGCTTCAGAAATCCTATCTCACCTGAATTTTATTATTAACCCCTTTCCCCATTTAAAAATAATCCTCCAACTCCGTTCTCAGTCGTTAATCGGGGCCATTCATTTACAGTGGCATTCTATTATGCTAGCCTAAGGTGATTCGTCTCAATAAATCTTTGTTTCAGAATCTCAGCCGTCCATGGTGAATCTCTGCATGAAATACTTAATACCGATGATCATCCAGAAGTCGGAGATAAGATTGCTCGTATAGAAATGATCGATTTTGCCGAAGGCATTAGAGCTCTGCAGTCTTCGTAGTGACGCTGTGGTCCTGAGTGCCACTTCGTGGGCTCGTCGGGTCCAGGAAGATGTGGATTTGGCACGAGATTGTCGGAGGGCGGGGCGAATGCGAGCGTCGGAGTTTCGATAGCGCGGACCCGTCGCCATCTCTCTCTCCGCTAGTGGCAGGCTCTGTCGAGAGGGGCATGATTGCGGCGGCGCACAGCTGACCACTTGTCCCGGGCGAGATGTATATTCATTCATGCACGTCGAAATTCGAGGCCCATGTCTCGCTGAGACGTCGGGGCTCGTCCGGCTGCGCTTTCGCGAGTACATTGGCTATCGCCCCTCGGCCCTCGGCCCTCAGCCCTCGCCGGTGCTCGTAGGCCGAGTCCCGTCACGGTACCGAGTACTGCTCCAGGTACTCGGAACCGGGTGCGCCCGAGTTGTCCCCAGCTCCGTTCCGGAACTTGGCGCGTGGCGCTGACGTGGTTGGGACGAGCTTTCTACTATCGGGGAGGTCAAGTTCTCCCCTCCTCGATCTGCACGGGCTCCTGCGTCGACGGCCGCAGGATCCAAACGCAGTTGAAAGGTCGGCCTCCGACGGACGGACGGTGTCCACAACTTCGCGCTCACGTCGTGTAGACGAACGGAGATCCAGCGGCGGAAATAGAATCCCTCGTCATCGTCGGCGTCGGGATCTCTGCTCCCGCACGCCGGGCCCTGGAGCGAATCGTGACGGTCGGGCGTCACGCATCGTAGCTTCGAGTTGCGGTTCGCTAGTCCAATCGTGAGCCTGACGGGATTCTTCCCCAGTGAACGAGCAAGAGAGAGTAGGGATGGGCACGTAGCCGGCTAACTTTCGGCTAGCCGGCTATCGGGTAAAAATGCAGTCTACCGAAATATTCGGTCGAAATGAATGTTTATTGGATGATTTCGGCCGAATCTGAGGATATAATCGGCCGAAAGCGTACAATCGGCTTGAGTTTCGGTTAGTTTTCGGTCTCGGAAAGAGGTGGCACTATTTATCGGGTGCCCGTGCGCACTGGCATCTCAACATACACTCGTGGGGGTTTTGACGTGCAATGAATGACTCATGGCACTCGCTACGATGAGGGCTACCCCGATGGTGTTCATAGCGGAGGCTTGTGGATCCAGTTTCCGTGAACCGGAGGAGCATGTTGGATTTAAGTCCAATTTTTTGAGGTGTAGGATTTTATCAACAAATAGTAAATCAACTCTATGCTCAATTGTGAGTGTGTGCATACTAAAGGTAGGTAGCTGTTAGCGCCACAGACTGACTGCTCGAAAACTCATGTACCGAGTAATCAATCAAACGGACATTACAAATTCATCGGCTTATAGCTCACGAGAAAAATTCGGGTGACCCTGAAATATGGCATCCTGGGAGTGATAAGTTTTGCGTAAGAAAAGAAATATAAGGTCAAAGCTGTATAATGAAAACTAATTTCCGAGATCTTAATGTGGTGCTTAATAGCTTGGAAGTTAGAGCTTCAGATATTGATTCAGTAGTCGCACAGAGTATAGTTCCTTGACGAGAACCAGAGATCTTCGGCATGAGAGCCTAGGATATATATATATATATATATATATATATATATATATCTATCTATCTATCTATCTATCTGAGCTTATCTAGCAACTTCCATGATTTGGTATGGTTTGGTATGGTTGACAGTTTCGGACTGGACATACATGGTAGTTGTTGTTGTTGTTGTGGATGCTTGGCATTTTGGCTCCTCTTCCTTATTCTAAGTAAGACCGTATAGCATTATTTTAAGTGGCACATACATATTTCTTTTAGTTGTAGCCGCAATATTCAGGTGAAGAGGGAAATTATGTTTGTTGCCTAGACATCTTCCCCCAGATCAGTCATGGCGATGAACTGATTTACTTTGATTTAACAAGCATATTGACATGTCATGGTCTTTAGTTCCCGATTGGTCTTCGTTTGATCTCTTTGTTTTATCTCCACCCTACACATACCAGTCCATGCGCAGAGTAAAAAAAGCGAGTAATAAAACTGCGTCTTTAATTCTCTGTTCTTGAGTCCCCGCCGGGTAATTGCTGGGTCCACGAAAAATATCATGCCCCTCGGAACTTGAACGCCCCTGGAATTCAGATAGCTTCAATGGAGAACGTTGTCCGATTACGCTGGAAGCGGCTCGTCAGAGAACCCCTAGAATCTTTTTCCAGCCAAAGTAGTCACGCTGTTGTCCTTGAATTTTGAATATCCGTCTATATGATTCATATAATCCAAACCTGCAGGAAGTAGAAACAAAAAAATAAAAAAAATAAGGATGGGAGGACCCATGAGGTCGTATATGGGTAAATCAAATCTGAAAACGATTCTAACCCCCACAAAATCTTATTTAAGTCCAACTGCAACCACACATCTAAACCATACAGTTCAATCTATTGATCGTCTGGAATTTGCATCATCTGAACAATGTTCCCGCTGGATGCAAAAATTCTGGGGAGAAACAGGGATGAAATGGTCTCGAGCTTTCTAACTAGAACCTCACGTAATATGTATTGTATGGAATTAAGTCAATGGCTTCATCCACAGCGATGAACTGTTGCGATGGTTCAGTAGACTGGAACCGCTTTTCACATCGTTCACTTGCCCTGTCAACCACGTCCTTGTTTGTAAAACCAGGCCCTTCGATGTTCACGAACGCAGTTGGACAAAAGGGCAAATGATTCAAATGTTGCAAAGAGAGAAAAACATTTCGTCACTGCGCTCACCACATTCATTCTCTCTCTATCTTTGGAGCACGTGTCTCTCCGAGAAGAGGAACAGGGCGGGGGGCCCGAGGGGCTTCAACGGACGTTCGGCGTATCCACGTGGAAGCGATCTTCAGATGGGCGAGGAGCGCGGTCGGTCGGTGGGCAAAGTTGGCGGCGGCGGGTTTTGACATGTTCAGAGCTCCAACGCGCGTTGCGGGCCTCACGTGCCTGCACCGGACCTGCGGTGGGGGCACGGATCCGGCGCACGCTCTCTATTTATATTCCCGTCTCGGTTCCGTGGACGGGAGTTCTTGCCGCCGTGGGTGGGATCACCCACTTTCCTCTGCCTCCGGCACGAGCCGTCCGTTCCTTTGGCCTCCGTTGGCACTCAGGGGCCGCTCTGGGGCCGTCGCTTATTTCGGAGCTCCTCCTCGAAACTGGACCCCTTCTTCCCCCGCGCCGAGTCCATCGCCCCGTGGCGTACGCTTTGTAAAACACATTTTCTCCGATACCTTACCTCCTTCGTGCTGTTCACACAAGATTATGATAATTATGTTGTTCTATATGCTGACGATTTCTCTCTTTAATATTTTATTTTTTCTCGATTTCTATCTTGATAGACCGCTGCTTTCTACCGGAAGCCTTCACTAATATCGGAAGGCGAAGGGTGGCAAGGTGAAGAAGTTCGTACCTAGACTTTATTTTTATTGAGTGGAGCATCTGTATTGAAAGAAGAAAAACTTAAGCTCGAACTTAGAGTTATGCCTCCAATTTAATACGTAGAATTTGCAATGTTCTTCTCGTTCAGATAAGTGCAGGAAGCTCCAGTTTTTTTTGGCAACAATTATTTATGGGGAGAACTTGCTCGGAGTATCCACTCACCTGCTGTTTGTATTTAAGCATTGTATATTATACTCCATTACCCCATGAGCGGGATTAGTACTTGTGATTATTAACGTGGTTTCTTATCATCCGTTATTATCATCATTCGTGTGACTTTTGGTTGCACTTCAAATTAATAAGTACACATGGAAGTTTAGATTATAATCTCGACTTCATATATCATATATATTAATATATACAAATCCATATTCAAGCATATCAATTTCTATTGCAAAATCAGACTTCGTTGTAAATTTTTAATAATTTTTCTTTTCAGTACTGGATTTATAAAATTTTGTAAACAGTCTACAATTTGGATAGTTATTCAAGATGAATATCGAGACATTTATGAGTATAAGGCATGTAGACTTGAATAGTTAGAAAAAAATGCGTGTTTAAGTAATTTAAGGAAGTATCAATAACTAGATAATAAACTAACATATTCATTCTACAAATGGACTCTGGATAAGATTTTAAAATTTCAAAATTTGGATTTAAAAGTTAAAATAAAATATCTAAGTTTAAATGATTGAAAAATACCACAGGAAATTTCAATATGAGAAGAAAAATTATGTAAGGAAAATTTTTAAAAATATAAGTATTTTTATTCCAATCTCCTCTTTGTATGAAAAAATCAGATATAAATATAAAATTTTAGTACCAGAATTTTAACATTAAATTGTGTAAAATCTACTGAAAAAAATAATTCAGACTTTCAATAATACAGAAGTAGGAATAACTGCATTCAAAAAGGTAAATTCGTATATTTCAAAAGAAAGAATAAGACTGATTTTTTAAAAAAAATCTACGAAATACATTTGAATAATTAATTTGATTAAATTCAAGATATCATTATAACTAGTCAATTATTTTTTAAACATTTTATCTATGACAAAATTCAGATTCAAGACATCAATATTAATTTTTTATGATCTTAAATTAACTCAAAGATTATTTCATTTTGCTAAAATATCATGATATCTTGATTGTATGTGGAATAATTTTTTATAAGAAAATTCATGTAAGCGGAAAATTGTATAACTTGAATAAAATTTGAAATCTATTTTAACTTTGAATTTAATCAAGAATTTTTAGGTCTTTTTTGCATTTCAATAGTTTTTCAATTATTCAATCTCTCCTTTGAATTTACAAACAGCATGATTATTTATTTTTTAAAACAGAATAAATATAATTAATTCTGGTTTTATGATTTGCACAGAAAATTTGCTTATGACAATTTTTTTTTTAAATTTTGAGAATTGAATCACAGTATTCATGTGAAGTAAGTTACCATCAATTTAGTGAAAAACTTGACATGTATATTGAAAATAAATAAGGATTTAAATTTTAAATTCAATACAGAAAAATTAAAAAATTAAAAAATTCATTTCAAAAAAATTAATTGAGCATGAGGTGCAGGTTACAAAAGAGGTAGCAAATATCAAAAAAAATTTTATGCCATTTTCAATTTTTATAAACTATAAAAAAAGGAAAATACGCAATAATATAAAATATGAAATGAACCTTACGCTTCACTTTTAATTGTTGTAATTTACAGATATAAGAAATTTGGGTTTTTAATCTCTAATCAATTTGAATTAAATAATTTTTTAATTAATAATATAATACTCTTATATGTAATTAAAGCTAAAAATTTTAATTTATGCATTTTCTTCATCATGAAAATCATTACCAAAAGTATTTTTATCTCTTTTTTAAGCCTTTAGTCACCATCAGTATCCATTTATTTACACCGTCTTATCATTATTGTGCATCTTTTTTTCTGTTACAATTAATAACTGTATATTATATTATATATTATAGAAAATGATAATCTCATTAAAAAATTAATATTTTTCTGTCATATAAATCATAAAAACTGTGTCTTTACTGTCAAGACGTTATATATATATAAAATATTATTATTATTTAAGTTTCTTTTGTACAAACACTAGAAAATAAAAAATGGAATTAAACATAATGAGAATCATAACGGTTAAATATATAATATAATATTATAAAAATGTGAAGTTTTTTAAGAGTTTCATCCAATCAAAGTTTTTCAATATCAATTATGTATACAAAAATATTGAGATTTTATATACTTCAATAAAAACAAATATACGATTCAAATCGTCAATCATTGGAATGAAATTTCAAATTATTATTATGAATAATGTGATCATCACTCAAAATAAGAAATCAAATGGTTATTAAAGGTGTCATCTAGTGAAAGGTTATCCTTTTTGTATCATGATTAAATTTATTATTTGATAAGGTTTATTTTGAATTGACGCGAATATCACCTCTTTAATTATTACTAATCGTCTTATATTGATAAACAATTTAATTTATATCTAAATTAAATCTTAAGATTAAATTTGTCTTTTGATAATATTATTAATTACTCATTCACATTTTTACTGTATTTTCGTAGCAATCATGTAAAAACATTTAAAATTTTTAATAATTAATGTCATTTTCAATTTTTAAAGTAATAAGATATGTATAAAATTATCGAAATGAATAAAAAAAAGAATTGATTTATAAATAATTTGATCCAAATTCTTGTATTCATTCTATCATCATAGCATATTTACAGTAGTTCTGAGTATAAGGCACAAAAATTATTGCCTCAATTTGAAATTTAAATTAAATTGTGGAAGTTTAAAAACATTACTATCATTTAAATTCCAAATTGATATGTTTTTATATATATATATATATTTTTTTTTTCATTAACTATCCAAAATACATACAAGTTGAAAGTATTTACACAACATGATAATGATATTCACAAGAAACCACAAAATTGGAATGAACATAAAAACTATATGGTTCAGCTAAAAACTTTTATGTACATGAAAACAGTAAACTTAAATTGAAAAAACTATTAAATTTTATAGCACAAGGTTAGTACGAAAATCTTCATATAACTCAATTTAAATAGCATATACTGCTTCTGCTTCTACTCTATCCACTGCATATACTGCTTCTGCCTTCGGTGACATTCAACACATTTGCTTTACGAGATGACGAGTGCCACATTGGAACCGAGAGCTGGTCTATCCGAGCTCGCAGAGAAAATCGCAAGGAATAAGAAAGTCTTCTGGTCCAGTTATGACGCCAGCGAGTGTCGAGGAGTGAGGCCTCATATCTGCATTCGAGTTCTCCTTCGCCACGTGACGAGCAGTGCTCAGTGAGAACAAGCGAACAGCAATGAGTCAGAAGCAAATCTGACAACATCATCATCGTCATCGAGGTTGAGCCACTTTCGCGAGAAGCCGACGGTGAATACTGACAGGAAAGAGTGTTTGGCAGATATACTGATCTTCCGTGCAGATAGATGGTCGAGAGACCGATGAAAGGGGCGAGGTCTCTAACCAACGCAACTTTTCATTTTGGCACTTAGGAACAAGATGGATCCTGTTTTATTTTATTCGCAAATGATTTGCGAATGTTCCAGAGTCGAAATACCACAAGAAAAATCTATTTGCTTCGAAGCAAATACAGTACAATGAGCAAAGAAAGTTTTATCACGTGAGCGCCTTCGAGGATTTGATGCCTCTCTTCCGCCCTGGCGTTGTGCTATGACCGTCACTCGATTTCAGTGTGTACCACGACGATTCGTAAAAGTGGGGTCTATAGAAAATGTCTCTCTGGAAAGGCATGCCCGAGCCAAAGGCATGGCTGGAGACAAGACGGAGACAAATACGAGAAAACTGGACATGAATAATTAGCAACATGCCATGCCACTGTCAAATTGTAGGATCCACATCGTTCTAACCGAGGCACAGTAATAAATGTCAATCTAATGTCCGAACGAGCCCACAGATTGATACCGAGTATGAATCCATGCTTTCACTTTGGCACAGCTCGAAGCACGCACGTGGAGATGTAAGCACAAAGCCGCAGCTAAAGAGGGTGGAGAGAAATTTGGAGCTACTAAAAGGAACCTTTCTGTGCATCCATGGAACACGATTCTTCAACCGCCTCAGGCCAGACTCTCGTCAACTCCTCGACGCATGATAAGAGGCTGTGTATATATAGACGAGTTGGGAGGAGACGCTGAGGGTCAGATCTCATCCAGTCTGAAGCGAAGTCAAATGATTCAAGTGCGCATGATCTATCGATCGAGTAGTTCAGATTTCAGATTTCAGATTTTGGATTTGGATTCGAAGGATTCGTACTGCGATAAATGGCACAACTGTTCGTGGCTGGGCTCTGCGTGCTCGTCTCCATCTTCTGGTTTGGAGAATCGCTGGGCGGAGTCGAGGGGCTGAAAGCGCACGCGACGTTCCTCGGGGGGAGTGATGCCGTGGGCACCAACAATGGCGCCTGTGGCTATAGCAATGTTCTGGCGATGGGGTACGGCACGATGACGGCGGCCCTGAGCGCCCCGATCTTCAGAGAAGGCAAATCGTGCGGAGCTTGCTACAAGCTTCGCTGCCGGGGATCGGAGAGCGTCGGGTGCAGGAGCAACGATGGCGTCGTCGTGACGGTGACAGATGTGTGCCCTGAGCGCAGCGTGGGCGGATGGTGCGACGGCCAACCGCATTTCCGACTGTCAGAACCGGCATTCGCTCAGATCGCCGAGCCCAAGAGTGGAGGCCTGGTGGAAGTGGATTACGAGAAGGTTTCCTGTGACAGGAGAGGAGGCATGCACTTCCTTCTGGTGGGACACACTCACTTCCTGCAGATTCTCGTGCACAATGTTGGAGGCTGCGGCGATGTGGCTGCCGTGTCGGTGAAGGGCGGAACTGGCCCGTGGATTCGCATGAGCAGGAGCTGGGGTCAGTTGTGGCACACGGGCGAGGTTCTCGACGGGCAGGCCCTTTCGATCTCGGTGACAATGGGAGATGGCAAGGTCTGTGTCAGCAACAATTTTGCAGGTGCGGATTGGAAGTATGGTCAAACCTTCGAGGGGGCACAATTGTAAGCCAGCCAGACACCTCCTTAAACCACCTACGAACGTCAGGGAAACCCGTCACCTGATTCTGTGGCTCGGCCCAACTGCAAGTCGCCCGGTTCAGACAGACTCCTCCCTGTGTGTAATTTCGCACGCATATTAGAAGCTTGGTTCACTAGTGTTTCCTCCAGATCCAGACGCTATTTTGTAAATAGATTACGTAGTAGAAAACATGGGAGTGTTGAACATGGGCATGACTGCTCTGACCCGCGTTTGAAGAGCTGTGCACTTTGCTCTTCGCTCACTTTGTTCAGTTGTACGATTAGTAAATATCAGAGATCTCGATTAGAAGTCGATCCAGTGAGTAGATTCTTCGAGGCGTGCTTAGATTTTGTAGTAATCAGAAAGGTAGGAAAGGTTATCGCTATCATGTGAGTACACTGCAGATAAATATATAAGATCATGCATATATATATCAGAAACTTAGCTTAGAGATGTTTCCTCCAGATACAGAACCTTTTGAAAATAGATTACGTAGTAGAAAATTAGTATGTTGTAAATGGTTGTAAATGGGCATGACTGCTGTGGACCCCTGTTGGAGAGATCTAAATTTGACTCTTCACTCACTTTGTTGAGTAGTGTTCAATGAGGCGGGCTTAGATATTGTATTGAGAAAGGTTGGAGAATTTATCGCTGTTGTATGTGATTGTTGCAGATTGCATGAATAAAATCTACACACATACAATCGACAGGCGCAATACTGCACGAGGTGTCGATGCCCAGTTTCTTATGTTACAACAGGATGGTTTGTGATAATGATCACCATCGCAATATAGGACAAAGCAAGGTATCGAGTTACAGCAACTGATTGTCGACTTCAAGAATCGGTTGCTGTGACTCGACTTACACGATGAGAGATTCGCGGATCATACGCGTGGGGTCGGTCCATCTATTCCTGGAATGAACGTCGTGGGCACTGGGCTTGCATTCTGGACCGTATTGAGCAAATGAGTGGTCACCAATCGTTTGTGTTCGACACCCCATGCACTACATGTATGGTCCCACTCGTCGAAAGTGTGTGAACATTATCGACCGTCAACAGTAGTTGGAGAATTAACGGACTAGTACAAGCGTTTGGAAGAAGTTTTGGAGCTTTTTGCTGACCCTCTTGAGCAATTTGTGTATAATTTGTGGCTGAATGCGCAAAATTTTCTCATATGTGCATTTAATGACCAGAAATTTCTCCTTTTCAAGACTATATTTTGCATTTAGTCCTCAATTATATTCTACGTTCCTTTCAAGTATCACACAAGATGTATCACAGCTAATTAGACCTCATGTAACTTTGCATGCGAGTGGACATGTCTCTTTAATGTTGGGATCTGCGATAAGTAGGACACTATAGTTTTGACTGTTCTATATCGCAGGACACAAATTTTGACAAGGCACAAATCTGCAATGAATGGCTTTGTCTCATAAAATAAGGAGCTTCAAATGTGCTCTATCATACATAGAGAGGAAAGCCCAATCTAAAAAATGAAATGAGTAATCCACAGGGGTTCATTGCAGTGAAGGATTCTTCACGCTCAAGGTTCCTCCTCATACGACAGTTGCCAAACTATGGTCAAATAGGCAGGTGATAAACATAATTGTAACAGCCACTGTGGATCAAACACCGGTTCCAAGAAGAACTTAGCACGCTTGAGTCTTGAATTAATTCATTGCTGATGATGAATACATCGGCATACCAGAACACGAAAATCAGAGGGGCCAGAAATATAGCTCGAATTTCGAGACATAGAGTCGCTTTCGATGTTCAGTGACCCGATAATATTTTTCCCACAGAAGGCTCACTTGACCTGCTATGAAGACAGCGACGCAGCCTACATACTCTCTCTCATGGTAGACTAAAGAAGTCGTGAGAATGCAAGGATATACGGTTCAGCAATTGTGGTATGACATATATTGCCTGAAAGCATTTTCCTTCAGTCAGGTGCTAATCTAAACTTACTTCTCACGAGGCATGAAGATCCATCTCGCAACATGGATCTCTCGTAAGAATGGTCTAATGCATATTGAAGAGGAGCCTATAAATACTCCTCGGTCAACTCTCGGGCAGGCAGTTACAGCTGCCATCTCGCCCAGCTGATCGTAAAGTTTCTGAGATGCTTCTTCGAGTGAAGTCCTCAAACGAATCCTGTAAAATTCTTTCCACTTTCTGAACGGAAGAAATTGGATGAGTAAGACACATGCATCTTCATCTCATCAGAAGGTCATACTCTCTTGTGCTGTAGATGGAGAAGAGTGCACTTGGGAAATCTCGGGTGAAGGTGCGCAGCCTTAAGATGAGATTACAATGCACTTTTCTCGATCTCCTCCTCCCATATTGAGTACTCTGGAGGTTCAGAGTCTGCCAATGGGCTACATCACATGAGAAATTCTCGGATACATTATAATGGCAACAAAAAATCACGAATTTCTTGTGCTGTAGTCGTGTTGCATGGCGAGAAGTAAACCAGGCCCTGCGATCTCCATCACTGCCTCTACTCCGGTAACTCCTCCTCACAGGCAGAAGAAATACGGGGATCTCTGATTACCTCCAGACTTCCATAAATCTAAGCCAAATGTCCGGTGGTGAAACATTCACTCGATGCATGGAAGATGCTGGTGATGATGCAAAGCGTTAACCTGTCCCATGTTGCAGGTTTGCCTTCCGTGGCTTCTGGTCCTGCTCTCCCCGTAGCAAATATGAAGCAATGCTTGAAGCAGAAGCAGTGAAGCTTGCAAACGTCCTTCACCACGTGATATCTCGCGAATCAAACAAAATGGCGAGCTGCCCAAATCGAGGCAGTGAAACGGTAAAGGACCTGAAATAATCGTAGGTACGTAGCAGTAAGAAAAAAATCAGAAAAAAATCTGCTTCATGGGATCAAGTGGATAGCAAAAATGATGAAAGATACCATGAAGCAATATAAGGAAGAAAATCAACGGAAACAAGGGATATCAGGATGAAAAATGTCCTACAGGATTAAAAAAGGATAACATAGATTTGAAGCAAAAAGCAAACACTGTGAAAAAATACAGTCCCATTTGAGTGACATCATCCTTGAAAGTCAATAGGGGGAAGGAGAAACAATTGTCACATTCTCCGGAACATTGCTCATAAAGGAAACCTTTGTATGTGAAGAACGTCAGAATGAAAGAAAACCGCTCACGGCTGCACGTCAGAACTTTCTACCGATAGATGAGTTGATGATTATGAATCTGGGTTCCAATAAATCGTAGGCTCATGAAACGGGCACAAAAGAGACCCATGGCATATTAAAAGGAAACTCTGAGACTAGGACTTTAGATGAAAACAGTCGTTGTGGACTCAAACAATGAACTCTAACTCCCAAGGGGACCAAGCACACAGAATCATGAAATAATGTAGATCTACAATGTAAACGGACTTCAATATCAGACTACATAATATATCAGTGAGCTATTTCCATCGCCAGCTCTGACCCATCTTCTGTGTAGTTTGAGGTTGAACAGAATCAAAGCTGTAACCGCAAAACATGAAAATGATCAAGAAAATGTATGGGCAAACCACCTCATCGAAGTTTGGATCGATTGGAGGCTAGAAAGGCATGAATCAGCTTTTCTCGATTCACTTGCGCTAGATTCCAGAGTGCAATTGCCCTCGGTACCGGCACCGGCACCTGCCTGATCACCTCACGATCTTTGTTCTTCGAAGGCTGTGGTTTTTCCTGAGTCATGCTTGCGAGGATTGGACAATCTGCCACAAAGCTTATAATCTGACAATTGTGGGACTGTCTCTTTGCGCACCAGCTCTCTAAACCCCAATCTCAACTCTCGGAATTCGCTCCCTTGCTATCTCAAGGTGATGTGTATATCAACAGAACCTCGATAATGATCAATGTAGAATTTTAAACTGAAGAACAAGGTTTGCAACTGACGAAAGCTCCGGTTGCAAGCCTCGCTTTCCAGGAATCAGGGACGCAAAAGGGACCTGAACAATCCCTCCCACCCGGATTGTTACACTGCCTCCAGCATCTGCATAGAGTAAAGCGATCAATCATTACCGTTAGTGCCGTGGAGTCTGGGGTTTGAGTCGTGGTTCATCGTACACGTACAACACCACCTGGCCTCGCGGCCAGAGTGGGGGTGTCTTCACACGGCCGGACACATCAAACCTGCAAAGAGTACAGCCAGCCTCCGAGAAGCCTGCGAATAAACAACGCATTTGTCTTCCGATCCACGATCACCCACACTTCACTCTCTCCTGGGGCCCTTTCCAGTGAGCTAGCTATCCTTTGTCCTGTGCACCCAGATCGACCCCACTTTCTTCTTCCAGACAGCTTGTAGATTATTGTCTTTCTCACATGGACAGTGATCCATCCTCTTTGGTCCTCTCTGAACGACAGGAAGGTGTCGTTCAGAACTTGAGGTAGCTCTATTCAGCTCTGCACTATTGATTTGCACGTGCCTATTGGATTTAGTTTAGTAGGATCCAATAGGAACGTACAGTCCTGTTATATATCCATTATGAATCCAACAGTGATTCCTATTGGATTCTACTAAACTGGCCAGGAGTGATTCTCGTCCATTCGAGCTCTGAGCCTCACTCACTACTCACTTCATCAGAACAACCGAACGAATGGACTTTCGTATTGATTATATGTACCCAACAGTATTTGAGCATGTGTGCAATTCTGAACAGTGTAGATCATTCTGGTGAGAAGCCTTCTAGTGTTGGGCTCTTGCTCTGAAACCTGTGCAACAAGCGAATGCGGTTATTGGTTGGAGCAAGTATATACTGCTCTTGAAGACTACGGTAGTACTGAGCCATCGTTAGGAACTGAAGACGGCTGATCTGACGAACTCGTCAAGAGCTCAAAAATGCAGCAGCAATCCAGTCGTCACTTGCAGGAAAGCGGTGGACTTTCAAAAAGCCTTAATACTTTCTGGTTTTGGGTCTTCTAATGCCATCACTTCCTCATAAGTCCAACTGTGCTGTCAAGAGT